GCAGTGTTTAATCAAATTTGAAACAAGATGAAAAACATCCAGTTAGGAATGAAGTCATGTGGAATTGTTTTGGAAAGTGGCATCCTTACAATTGGACTATGAACAGAATTTGAAACACTTTTTGAAAAGACCATGTCCATTTTTTAAAGGTCAGTTTGACTGATATTGAAAAATGTCAGCTTTTTCTTTTTTTTAATCTATCTCTTTACCATGATAATGTATTTATCTTTCACCATCGTCTTTGTGTCCCCATGACATTTTCAATGTGTCTGTTTTTACTGCAACAGTAAAATTTAGTGCTTATCCACCCCCACCAAAAAAACTTTTACATCACTTTGTCTGCCTCCCTGCCCCGTAATGTTTGTGTAAGGGATAACTCCATCAACATTCCTTTTTATACAATGTGCATACAGAAAGTTTTGATGTTGTGACACCATTGAACTAGCTGAAGAACAATCCCACCAGCTGTATATGGTCACATTGATTATACAATTTGTTTTGCAAACTATTTTGATGACATCATTTTTTCAGTAAGTAAAAGTCTGAAAAGAAATACATGGATATATTTTAATATACATGGGAAGATATTTGAGGGCCAATCAGATGAAGAAACTTGAAGCAACAAAAATGTGGTTCTACAGAAGGATGCTGAGAATACCATGGACTGAACAGATGAGCAATGGCTGAGAAAATGGAAACAAAAAGGACATTCTGCTGATAAGGTTAGTTCTTTCAAATGCTTGATTCATTCATTCGTTTTTTTATGGCTTATCATCAACCCTTTGTAGGTTAATTAAAGCCAAAATGCGTATCAGATTGTAAGAGTTTATTTACAGTACCTGGTGTTCTCAAGAAGTCCCCTGTCTAAGTACTTAAAAAAAAAAAACAATCATATCACCCCATGCAAGGCAGTAAAACCACTAAGACACAAGGGATTACTGAGTGTGGAAGAACAAGAAAAGAGAAATATGAGGGAGCGAGAAAACTAGAATAGTAATCAAGACAGTAGATAGCAATTGATATTGCATTTAAATTTTTGAAGATAAAAATTGGCTGGAAAGCATGAAGCTGGAAGCTAGGTACCATAGCAAAGAGTTCATATGAACAGTTACAATGAAAACATTTATAGAAAAGGCAGAGAGAAGCTACATTAGAGCAGTAGGAAAGTAACTGAAACCAGGTCAGGACCATTAATATTGCTGACTCTCTGGATTTTATCAAGATTCTCTAAATCTACAGCAGGAACACAGGACAAAGCACGGACGAATGGTAGACTTATGAATATGCAAGACAGATTCTGGAGAGAAAAATTGTTTAGCAAAATGCAATGAAACAACTTTTTTAGCAGCAGACCTAGCAATGCATTCAAAATAGTTTTACACTTCATATCAGCTGAGAATATTAAACAGAGAAGATACAATGAGTCATCCTCATAGAGGTTAGCATCAGCCATGATGATGAGAGGCAGGAAGTGGTCTTTCAGGTGATTAATAGAGAGGATTCATTTAGGAGGCGTTAAAATTAACAAGCCATTTCTTGCCCCCAGTTAGCAATAAACAGTAGGTAATTTTTTTTACATCACCCACTAATTTCAAATTAGTGGGTGATGTAAAAAAATTTTTCTCCTCATTCATGGGGAGATTATTGAACTGACCAGACTTAGTATCGAGACAGGAGTAAAATGCTTTTGTCATCAGCAGAGATACCAAGTTGAGAACTGGTATTTTCAACTTGATTTAACAATAAACATAGTTCTTTGAACCTTAACCTGGCAATATGTATCTTGTCACAATACGCCAACCTGTATACACATAAATGTGTTTCTTTAAGAGGTATAATTTTTTTTTTAATTTCACCCCAAGCAAGACAATAATGCCACTAAGATGCAAGGGGTTACTGAGAGTGAAAGAAAATGTTGGTGAAGAGAAAGGACAATAATAGAACAGGTTTCATTTGATTTGTTTGAAAATTTTCTTATTTAAAGCCAGAAAATATATTTTTAGATTGTAGAGGATTTTTTGGAGATAATAATGGTTTAGTGATATAAGTCTTACTAATTAACCCATACGTGGGGGAGAAGAAGTGGATTCATACCTTTGCTCTCTGATTAACAATATCAAGCAATTATCCATTACACATCCATACAGTCACCCATCTAGGTACTAAACTGGTTCAATGTTGCTTAACTTTGGTGATCATACGAAAACCGGTGTTTCAACATGATGTGGCCTTAAGTCCCGCACAGGGTTAAGAAAAACAGAAGATGACGATTGATGTTGCATTAAATAATTGTAGAGAGCAAAAATGCGACACTGAAATCTGAAGGCGCATTGGGATAGTGAAAGATGCAAAAAGCTAAGCAGGGTATTAAGAAACAGAAAAACTTTGTTAGAAATAAAGAAAAGAGCACTGAACTGTTATGTAATAATGTATATCAGTTCACTTATATAGCAGTGAATACTAGACAATCTCATCACAGATGAAGAAGAGACTTCTGGCAACAGAAATGTGTTCTACAGAAGGATGCTGAGAATAACATGGACTGAACATGCGAGCAATGGCAAAGTTTTAGAGAAAATGGAAACAAAAAGATGATTATACTTAGTATCAGAAAGAGATAGTTGAAATTTCTAGGACACATAATGAGAAAGATGTTTTAAAAAATTTAACACTCTCTGGACATATTGAAGGCAAGCGGGACAAGGAAGACAGTGCATAACCTACCTAAGGAGCTTTTGTAAATGGTTGACAGAAAAGGGATTGGGAAAGATAGGAAAAAAATAGATATCTTACTAAGAGCTACAAAGGACAGGAAGTTGTGGAGAGTCATGATCGTTTATATTTTGAAGTGATACAACATAGGAGAAACAGCTGCTCACAGAAGCAAGAAAAAATGTCTAATTTGACTTCTGGGAATGTTTTCCTGCCACATGTTCATTTGCATCTTCTTCTATATGCCATGTCCCTTCAAGACATAGATGATCATAGCTCTTCACAACCTATCTGTTGAGACCTTTATCAGTTTTCTCCCTTTGCTAAGGCTCCCATCACACCCATTCCACCATCCATTCACACAATATTGCTGCCTTTCCCTATCTCTCATATCCTCAATAAGCCCTGTGAGAGTTAAGTTTTCTAAGCCCCCCTCCTCATTATGCTGTCTTTTCCTGATTCTGAATAGAAGTGTTCTTTCTGTTTTCTTTAAAACTTTTTTGTTGCCTACTTGCTCCATCTTTTTCAGCATCCTTCTGTAGAACCACATCTCTCCTGCTTCCATTTTTCTCCTCATTCACAGTGAGATTGTCCAGCATTAATTGCGATATAAAGAGGATGAACAGTTTATATATACCAAACACTGGGAATAATTATATCCCCTGGATTCATGTTATGAGGTTCGATCCTCATTGAGTTATGAATATTTTCGGCCCTGTACTACGTCAAATCTCTGGTTAGTAAATCACTTAGTTTTAACACACACATACACAAAAAGGGAGGCAATCAGTATTTGGTATGTAAAAAAATCGTCTAAGTCATTTTTAATGCATTTTTTAAAACTAAGATGTGCATTTGAATATCCCTGGTCATTTGAAAAACAAAACAAAAACAAAAAATAAAACAAAAAAACATAGATTTCGTTTCATAGGAATTGCCCTAAAAAGGAAAATGTTTCAAGAAATTACAATTGCTGATCGTGCACCACCCGATGTTATTTTTTTCGACTAATAATCTCTATATTCAGAAAAGTGATATAAAATATTCTTTTTTCTCATCTGTAGAAAATACAAAATTAAAGTTAAAATTTTAAATATTATCTCTCGGATTTAATTTTTTTTTAAAAAAAAGTTTAAAAACAACCAGGACACAAATTTTCAATGGCAAATAAAATAAGACAAAAATTGAAATAAAATAAAAAACGCAAATCTAATAATTCATACATAATTATGCTTATTTTCTATTTCGATATCGTAAGACGAGAATTTAAATTCCACGGAAAAAATAAAATTGAACATTTTAACAGTGTTTCTTAAGCCAAAAGAATTGGTTGTTTAAAAATCGTGGATTTTAATCTAAAAATTTACTAGTGGATTTTTTTTTTTTTTAATGAATGTGGAAAATATTGAGTTATTGAAAGCTTTGAACAGTAAAAAAAAAAGTAATACTTTACTGCAGGGAATTTAATTAAAAACTGACATCTTTTACTTTTTATTTTAAGTGATGTCAAAGGGTTAATAATCTTGACTTTGTCGATGGATCTTCCTATTTCTTTTTTGCTTTTTTTTTTTTTAAAAAAAAAAAAGAAAAGGATTTTTCAGAGATCTGAATAATAATTTTTAATCAGTGACTACAAAAAATAGATGATAAAATCGTTTAAAATTTTTTAAAGACAATTTAAAAAAAAAAAAACTGAAGCTAATTTTAATTTAGTAGGTCGATAACCATTTTTTTTATTTTATTCTATAAAAAAAAATAATCGACCCACTATACTACAATTTGACTTGACTTGAGTAGTAAAGGACATTTTTTTATTTAATAATTAATTTTTTACAGTGGAGAATTTAAAAAAAAATCAACTCACAAAGCTAATCTATAAAATAGATATTTTTGAATAAATAAGCAAAAATAACAAAAAATTATCTTCCAATTTAACAAGGAATTTAACTGGTGGAGTTAAAAAAAATCAAGTCATTGTGTAGGTGTAGTGTTTTGTATACGCGTGCATAACGAAGAGTTAAATTACACTTGTGACTTATGTCAACGTGTATGTGGTCATTATGCATATATATATATATATTTTTATGTATATTATCATTTACAATGATTGAAAAAAATGACTACCACCAACTACTACTATTAATAGTGCTAATTATAAGAAATAGAAAAAAAGGAAGCTTAATAAATACAATTACTACTAATAACTAAACGTAATGAAGTGGGTAAGGCTAAAAAGAAAATGACCTAATTTTGTTTAAAACGATTTAGATTATCCTATTTAAATTTACCTGGTTGTAGTTTTGCCAACTCCACCTTTGCCACCAACAAAAACCCATTTCAATGACTGCTGTTCAATGATATTTCGGAGAGAAGGTTCATACTCTATTTCGTCAACAGAAGTAGCCATGATTGCTGAATCGGTGCAAAAGAAAAAGACATTCCCTATTATAAAAATACCATCATAGTAGTGAAAAAGAAAGCCTTCCTTTCTAATACTTACAAAGCTGGTTATATTTCCTAATACGTGTACCTATACGTAAAAACATGCAAAGGGATGCTAAAATGTTCGCAGCCTGACTAAGAAGGGATATAAAAATCTCCAAATAACTGATGTTTATTTGGTCTTTCTTTTGTTTTGATTTTTGGAAATGGGGCGGGTAAACACATATGTACATATCTGTATTTCCCCATTATTTTACAAATTCATATGAAAATGAATGACAAAAAAGGAAAAATGATTAAAAGACTGTGAAATTCCTCTAAATCCAAATGCTTTTGAACCCAAAATTAATAAAAGTGCAAATCTACACACGCATATTTCAAAATCGTTCCACTGAATACATACCTTGTGGACGCAGCAGAAAAAATACCATGTGACAAATAATAATAATAATAATAATAATAATAATAATAATAATAATATTTCCACACGTAAATTCAAAAAGATCAAGCGGAAATATAACATTAAATCCCTGATTGATATTCCATCAATCATGGAAATGCTGAAGCAGAAACTTCAGCTAAAGGCGCAGAGAACAAGACGATACGAAAAACGTTGTAGGTTCTATCGCCAAAATAAAATATTCCGAACAGATCTTAAGAAATTTTACAGGGAAATTGGAAAAACACCTATACATGTCGAAAGGCCACCATCGATTGATAATGTACAGACATTTTGGGAAAATATCTGGAGCAGCCCAAAGGAATATAACCCAAATGCAGAATGGGTACGGCGTGAAGAAGAACGAATGCTGGATTCACCTCTGCAAGAATGGGAAAATATATCCACAGATGATGTTAGGCAAGCTCTAACGAAATCCCAAAAATGGAAATCCCCAGGAAATGACAAGTTGCCCAATTTCTGGCTGTATCATCTCACATCTACCCATGAAATTCTTGCAAAAACATTATCAACACTTGTAAATAATCCCAATAAAATCCCGGAATGGATTACTGAAGGTATTACACACCTCATACCAAAAACAACTGAAACAGACGACCCGAAAAATTATAGACCGATAACATGTCTCTCCACAACGTATAAGTTGATCACGTCTGTACTGACGAACCGTACTTATTCCTCGAAACAAACAGCATTCTCCCGCTGGAACAGAAGGGATGCAGAAGAGGTTCATATGGCTGCAAAGATCAACTTCTGATAAATAAAATGATCCTGGAAAATTGTAGGAGACGACGCAGGAATCTAAGTGCAGCGTGGATTGATTATCGCCTTTGATAGTGTTCCACATTCTTGGATCCTTAAGACTTTGGAAATGTATAAAGTCTCCCCTGGGGTATTAAATTTCCTTAGGCACAGCATGGTAATGTGGAACACCAAACTATACCTTAGTCACACCGGGGGCAGTACCTAGGAATTAGCGAAGGAGATGGCATACAACACCCCCAAATGTGAAGGAAAAAATAAGAAAAGAGTACTACAGGCGTGTACGTCTGGTACTAAACACTGAGCTAAACTCAAAAAACAGAATATCAGCCATAACACATTGGCTGTCCCTGTGGTGCAATACTGCTTTAATCGCATGCATCATCCCAAAGCTGATGTTGATCGTCTGTATGTGCCCAGATCCGAAGGAGGCAGAGGATTAGTTCAAGTAGAACTGTCCTACAAAACTACAACAATTGGCCTCCAAAGATATTTGGAAACTACAGAAGACTGGATGATGGTATGCGTCAAGGAACATGAAAGTAGTAAGCGTCTTTACTCCGTAAGGAAAGAAGCCAACAAATTCAAAATGGAGTCTCAAATGGACGTAGAGATGCAACTACAGCACAATACTCCGGCTGAAACTGCAAAATACCTAAAAAAGACAGCAAAGACGAATGCAACCGACCAGTTACAGAAGCGATGGCAAGATAAACCGCTTCATGGCCAATACTCTGCTCGTACCAAACAAGCTGACGTAGACAAAACCCGTACCCATCAGTGGCTACGTAGTGCAGGGTTGAAAGCGGAAATTCAAGGTTTTATCCTTGCTGCGCAGGACCAATGCTTGCTAACTAGGAATTATCAAGCACATATACTAAAATATTGTGTCAGCCCAAAATGCAGATTCTGTGATAAATATCCAGAAACGATAGATCATCTTGTATCAGGTTGCACGATGTTGGCACCCACTGAATATAAAACCCGACATGACAGAGTGGGCCAATATCTGCACTGGAAAATCTGCAACTTTTACGGGAAGGAAACTGAAAGAAACTGGTATGAACACCACCCAGACCCGGTTACGGAGATAGGACCTGTTACAATTCTATGGGACTACACAATACACACTGACAGAACAATCAAGGCCAACCGCCCGGATATTGTTATTAAAGACCACAAACAAAAACGGCGCCTCCTTATTGATATGGCAGTCCCCGCTGACTGCAATGTATCTTTGAAGATATTCAAAAAGTTGTCAAAATACAAGGACCTTGAAATAGAAATCTCGAAAATGTGGCATATGGGAACATCAACGATCCCTGTTGTAGTTGGAGCCCTAGGACTGGTTGGAAAAGATTGCAGTAGATTAATTGAAGAGATTCCTGGAAGTCCATGCCTCAAGGAGATACAAAAAATTGTTCTGACAAGTACAGCCCACACTTTACGAAGGGCTTTATCTATGTAATTTTTTTTTTGTCAGTGGAAAGTGTCATGACGCCATTTATGACCTTAGGTCCCTGGGCGGGCCCCGGAAAGAAATGTGTAAACGCCAGAAATCAAAGAAAATAAAAATAATAATAATAATATATGCACGATCGGAGCGTCTACTAAAATATGGGTATCCTCTAAAGATAAAGTTAAAAGTGATAAAAATATATATGTTACCTCAAACGCTATTACAGTGGATACTCATGTTTGACTTATTTTAAAAAAAAATTAAATACCTGTCATATTTCTCGAATACGCAGCTCGATAGACGTAATAACACAACTTGTTTATAATAAAAATGGGTCGTCTATTTCAAATACGATTATCCGTTATAATAACGTTTGACGTAATAAAAATGTCGGATTAAAAATAATTCTATCAATTCCTTAGAAATTGCTTTGTTTAAGTTTCGGATCCGAAACTGCGCAGATATGGGCTTTCGAGAAAAATATCTTCGCTTACATACATACCTACACAAATTCAAATTTCAATAAAGATCATTCATTGGATAGAAATCAACGCTGCTATCTTATGCGACAATTTTGGAATCGCTATATTTTCATATAGTAGATTTTGTGCCCTTTTGGGTGAATCGGCCCCCAGAAATCTCCCACAAACTCATGCACTGATTGGTCAGTATTGATCAATCAGATTCTCTGCATGTAGAGAATGATTCTTTCCGCGCAGAACTCCTGATCCAATGACCACCTATAAATAACAAACACGAGTTTGCCTCTTTCTCTTTCTTCTCTATTTTTGTTGCAACATGTAGTCCCGGAGAATTATCGTCTTGACATTGCGGTCAGACGTTAAAGAACATTACCAACATGCGTACGTACGAACAGTCACCAATACGAACGTTCACACACTCACACAAACACAATGTTAACTGTCTATGTGCTTTGTAAATGTTTTGTTTAATTCATATATATCGGTCTTGTTTGTTTGTCTTCCTTATCTTCATTTGGCCAAGTCCAACATTCTAGCTGAACTGTAGTGACTACTACTACGTTTGCCACGCCTACAGTTTTCTCAAATGTGATTGGTTAAATAATAAATACTGTTTACCATAGGATAATTTACTAATCGCAGTCACCACACTGAATTTTTTCTGCCGTGAATTTCACAAACATGCTTTTGTTAGAAAATCACCGATTAGTTAATTTTTCATCCACTCATATATTTTCTGTGTTCGTTCAATTCTCCCGCCTTTGTTCCTGGAGCCTAGCAATAGTTATAAAAGCAGTGTTTTGTTCAAAAAATAGACAGTAGAATTCAGCAACTCACACGGGTCTACACAGATTATTGATTCTACTCACTGCGCACACACAGACACAGAACTTGAAATACATTTCACCATTCGTTTTCTGTGAACAAGCCAAGTTACAAACCAACACTCTGTTAGTTATACAAATAACACACAACTGAATTAACTGTATGTTTTTCTGAATGCAACATTCTATTTCAACATAGAACTTTGAGCATTCTATTCAAGAAACATCCTTAATTACATTCCATCTTATTCAAGTTAACAGATAAAGAGAAACTACTTTCTTTTCCTTAATATTCACACATTACAAAATTGTTTTGTATTTGTTGATTTTAATATATATTTTTATCGTTGAAACAAAAATAGTTTTCTCATTGTTTTTCTTTGATTCAATAATGTATAAATGTTAAATGCTCTTCAACACGCAGCCACATTAATCTCTTCAACATAGTACACACGCATTTACAGGACCTTATAGCAGGAAATATAAACGTACGTGTTTTCTTTACATCTTAACCCCACGATCCTCTACATGCTTACGTTAAAAAGAGTAAAATAGTACTTTTTTGCATTGTGATGCTCTTCATACGCGAGCGGTAAAACACACCGGATCAAATAGTAGTTTCTCCTACAAAGAAGGGACCCAGGTTCGATTCCTGCCGGAAAGCACACTTTTTTTAAAAATAATATTTCGCAAATACGTGGACCGATCGACTTAATACAACCTGTTTAAAGTAAAAATAAAAACACAGAGTCTTTTGCGGACGTATGCTCTTTGAGTGTTTAGGTTGGTTGAAAACACGTGTCTCCTGTTATATTTATCCCACAAGAAAAATGACGGACTCTGGATGTGAGTCCGGTTAATAATATAAAAGAAACAAAAAAACTATATATACGTAAACAAACGATGTGTGTGTGAACAAAACAAAGGTATACATAGACAATAGCAAATTGTTGCGTGTTACAAAACAATGAATATGAA